AGAATTTAGTATTCGAATAAAGGATGTAACAAATGTTCGATAGTAATAACGATGAGATTTCAATGTGAGAACGGCCCTTACTTTTGTATAAACGTAATATTATTCGAATAGAATTGTGTACAATTCTGCTCCCAAATCTGTTTAATAACAGTACTTGGCTCGAAGTACGAACACTTGAGTACGTTGAAAATTATATAATTTCTCTCCCTTTTATTTGATACAAAGTGTATATACTTCGATATTTGTTACATAATGCTTAATTTAGATTTGATTTTGCTTAGAAATTAAATTTTGTAATTTTTTATAAAAGATCTATAATCTTTATCTGTTGTCAAAAAAGATGTAAATAGTTATTGAAAGAAATGGAAGATATATTTACGTCGACAGCAATATAAATGTTATACAATTTTGTACGATGCACTTAACTGCTTCGGATAAATTACTACATACAAATTAATGCAACAACGTCAAACAATGATAAGCTTTCAGTACATGAAATAAAACGTGAAGATTCTTTTTTCCAATAACGAACCGGTAACGATAAACATATTCAAATACATGTGACAATTCACATAAAAGTGTAATTTGATTAAAAATATCCTAAATGTAATTTCTGAAAAAGAAATTTTATAAAACGTTTTATAACACACCTATGAAATTGGATATGAAATGCAAAATTTTTTATTTGTCGCCGTTTTGAGGAAAGTCATGAAATTTTGTTAAATTCAATTCACACCTTTGTATAAATATGTTTGAACTTTTACGTTCACAAAATATGTATAAAGATATGCAGGACTTATTATTTCTTTTTTACAATGTTAATGAAAATAAATGAATATTAAATGTCACTTACAAAATTATTTAATGTAAATTCAGTTCTGTATTATTATAACATACTATATAAAATCGAAATAATTAATATTCATGTTATATATTCATTTCTATAACTTGTTATTATTGTATAAACATAGGATTACTTAAGTGTAATGTAAAATATAGATAACGTTGACACTTCCCTCGTTATGGAAATGGTATAAGTCCATTTAGAGACAGTATTCTTATCATTTTAGTCGCTTAATATTGTGTGAAAATGTATACCTGTATAATTCCACTATTTATTATCATAAATTCTAACATAGTTACACAATGTGAAAGCATAGCATTAGCGCTTATGAACATTTTTGAGTGAATTAAAACGTATACCTTTCAATATCTTGTCGCAAGAAAATGTGGATTTACGCCAATTACCAAAATAAACTGCACAATTATTGATTCGTTAAAGAGTTTATACTTCCGTATTAACTTAACAAAATTGAAACAGCTACACAATGTTCTTTCATACACCTTGGATATATAATTTTTATAATTTTACATATTTTCATTAGACAGCATATTTTATAATTATCCGTTAATTTTCGTAATTTTTTCAGGAATGGGAGTAGAGAAAGCTGAGAACGTTAGAATTCTGAGGAATGCATGCCTACGCCTACGATAGATATTCAATATTTAAATCACACAGAAAACGAAGGTTTATTTTTGGTGTCCATATACTTCTCTGCTGGTATATTTAGAAAATTTCACGCTCCGGAAAGTATCCTAGGCCTAGGTAAAATTTATCGCGTGTTCTTGAGTGCTTCGTAAGTTCTAGATTATATCTACCAATTCATGTTAACCATTTGTGTATAATAATAACAATATTGATTCTGTTCTATATATATTTTTTTCTTAAGAACTCATAATTAAGAATTCTCTCTCCTAAGAGTAACTCAAAAATGAAACAGACTAGATCCAAATTTAAGACTGATCTAACAATAAGTATAATTCAGACCTAATCCAGTTTTAATAGAAATTTTAATTAGATTTACGTTAGACTAGATCCAGACTTACTTCAGACCTAGAATAGTATCGTCATTTCAGGTGAAATCGATCATCTTTTACATTTAAGGTCAGGCATTTTTATGAAATCAAAATTGATGAAACAGACAATGTATATAAATTAATTTTCTCTGCAAGATTATCAGTCGTATGCAATTTACTTTTTGATATTTTGGTCGTTACAAATCGTTTTTTTAAAGAAATCTTTTTTAAGGTCCGCAAACGATTTTTAGGTAGATGATGAAAATTATTAATAGATTTCTATTTTGTTAATATAATTACATTCCCTGATGCGTTAGTTGTAAAATAATTCTATTTATAGAATAGGATTTTCCAAATAATATTATAAACTAATGGTTAATAAGCATAGCGCAACCTGTCTTAGGTAACTGACCCAAATAACTCAGACTAAACCCGGACCTAAGTTAAACCTAATCTAAAACTAACAAGGGGCATCACTCAAGTATAACACGTCGATTTTGATGCAATTTAGCACAGAGATAGTATTTTTTGCAGTGAGAAATATTTGACACGTACTTTTTTAAGCTGCTGACATTCATGTCTAAGGGGTGAAAACAGTCCTTACATTTGAAGTAAACAACCCATTTTTTCCTCAATATCTCAAACTATTCACACAAGAGTCAAACAAAATATTTGTTAATAAAAATGTCATACCATGTTCTTTAATAATAAAAGTAACTACTAAGTAGTTTTTGGGAATACCAATTTGTTTAAAGAATACGTTAATATTAGTAACTTTTTGCATATTTTCCTTACCTGCAGCTAGAGAGAGCCGCGAAGTGGCCGATTTCCGTAAGCGGGTATACTTATGTAGCTCTGAAAAGAACCGATTCTCTGGCTGACATCAGGATATATTATCGACTGCAATTGCAATCTTGATCTCGTATTCTTCTCTCTGATAACGTATAGAAGAGCGTTAATTGGTTGTCGCACTTAAAGAAGGGGTACAAATACTTTTTACTTCACCCACATCTATAGTTCGATATCTATAAAGACACACTATAAATTCACCATACAAATTTGGTGAAATTTTTCACCTGCGTTTTGATGAGACGTTCCTGAAGATGGCTATCATTATAAAAGGTGTTGAAAAAAGTGCCAAACTTCAGGAGCATGTAGTATCTGTAAAAAAAATATTTACAGAAAATAATTAGTTTCGGAATTCCAGAAGGTTTTCAACTATCACCCTACAATAGAATAACAGATTCTATTGCCAATAAAAACGTATCGAGTGAGTCGTTATAACTTATCAATTATTACAAAGTCAAGTAAAGTAAATACAATAGTAGCTCTACGTGCAGATAGCACATGACACCTTGAAGACGGCTTAAAGGCGCCTCAGACCTAAACTAGCCGTAAAATGGGCGTCTTGAAGGCGTCATGTGCCATCTGGGACGTGATCGTAGATAAATATATAACGTCATTCAGCAACATTAAACAGAAATACATGCATACATACTTTGTCGCTTATTGGTGAAAACGTTTTGCAACTACGAAACTAATGACTCTTGTATCCATGTTTACTAAGACATTTTAGTCGCTACTTTTTCAACACTTTTATGTATTTATGTGTACGCGAATCGCCACTGTTCTTTTATGTACAAAAATTGAATTATCATCATAAATTCGCTTTAGTAATATTGTCACTTTTACAGAACTGAAAATTTTTCAATATTTACTCACTTTATTTTGAAAATAGCATCGATTTATATGACCCCTCGATGTGTATGGGTTTAGAATGTGGAGAACTAAACCTGAGAACTTTCACACTTACAATTAGTAACACCTCTAAATTTAAACATTATGTTATATACAAGAAATTCTATAATTATTGGGCTGTCCCATAAGTCCTTGCCATTTTCAACCAGTTTTATTTTTATTTTGTATTTATGAAAACTTAATTTCTATTCTACGATATAATCGCTGTCATTATCAATAACATTCAGCTATCTGCTCGGCAAAGTACGCAAGGAAACCAATTAAAAAATTGAAACCTAAGTATTATTAGCTGAAATATCGTTAAATATACATATGTATAAGGTATTCCTACGGTTTCAATATCACGCTTGTAGTAGTTTTATTATAGTAATCACAATTATTATTGTATACTTTAAAGTGAACATTTCAAAGAACTCGTATGTATTTTTACAATTTAAACGTATATAAAAATGCGACGTTTAAATACTAAGTACATTAGTACATACATTCGACAGTGAGAATCTTACCAAGAGAGCCAGATAACCAATATATTGATGTCACATTACTGGTACACACTGTGAATACTACATGCAACAACTACGACATCATCAACACAGTCGGTTACAATAACGTTCTACAGAAACCAAGCCTTATTACTTTCATACATAATTGGTAAATATAATAATCGTTATAACAGAAGCACGCCTATTGACATAACTTTCGTTACATGATGGCAATATCATTCTGAACAGTCGATATCGTACGAAATCTTCCAAATGAACTCTATTATATATAAAACATTATTCCCTTAATTGCGAGGACGAAATGAATAAATTCTTACAATTGATCCCCGTTTTTAATTTTAGTGAATTCTACCTGATACATAAGAAAGGTATCATGGAATAATGTGCGAGAAACTCAAAAGAAACCAATGGCAATTTGAAAGTATCGCAGTGGTAGCAGTTGGAAATCCATTTCCCGCCGTTGGGAAGAATGGAAAATCAATAATAGTAACCGGCCTTACCGACTTTGCGATGACGAAGACCCTAAAAGATCTACCTCTCTTCTTTCCACTAAAATAGCGCGCTCTCTTCCACACGATTCTGTACTCCATCTTTACCGAACAGCAGCGCCGCGCGTTTGCTATTGGCCAACCGCCGCCGCCATTATAGATTCCGTTGTGAGTGACCGAGTCCCGTTCTCTCTAAGTCTCTTAGTGTCTCCCTGACGCTAACGGCGAAATAAATTCACGACAAGTGTTGAAACGGTGAGATGAAAACGTACAGTCGAAAAAAGGGCGATAGCCCTAGCAACGTGATTATCCATATGAACGAGCTGTGCCGACTGTGCCTGGCAAAGGAGGAGGAGATGGTGCCGATTTATGACGACGAAACTATCCCCTTATCGCTTCGAATAATGGCCTGCGTTAATTTGGAGGTAAGTAACAGCATCTACTTTATTGAGCACATACTATGATTCAGTTATACGGTTCTATTTGCCATAGATATTAGTAGCTTATCGAAAAATAGGAATCTAGTTTATCTCTCTGCGCGATTCCGTCTTTCTTTCTCCCCACTCCTTTGAATTTGGATCGTGTTGCGAGCGTCGGTTATGTGTATATATATGTACTCAGAATGATTACTACACTGATCAAAGCAACTACCGGCTTTACCGAGTTATCGACTTTGTGCTAGACGCTACCTTTCTCGCTTTCATTACAGAAATTATGCCTACGATAAAGTTAACATCCAATATATTTATTCACGAGGCTCTAAAATTTCATTTTACAGTCGTATGCAATGTTACCGATCAATCACGAATTTTTGAGCGTCGTCGTTCGTATTAGGCGTGTCTAAAGGCGGCCTCAGACGGTGTGTGGTTCGGCAAATCAGTCCCCTGATCGGTAAATGGTGACGAAAGACAAATTATCGAACCGTGGTTGTTCTCGCATTGAGACCACTCTTGCCGAACGCGAGAACGACCACTGTTCGATAATTTGTTTTTCGTCACCATTTACCGATCAGGGAATTGATTCGCCGAACCACGCACCGTCTGGGACCACCTTAATGTGATTTAATGACAGAATGCGCGCGTATTTCTGTTCAACGACAGAATATAAAACAGAGAGAATGTATTTTTTCCAGGAATGTAATCTGTTTTTTATATACGTATTTCTTTTTCAGATTGCTTAATATGCACCATTACTGTGTGCACCATATAGTAATATTATTTCCATTAATTATAGTTTTATAAACTTACGTAATCAATAATATAAAAAACATTACAGATTATGTTATGAAAACTAGTGGAATTTTACATGTAGTGACTTTATAATATTTTTTTGTTATACACGTATTTCTTTTTCAGATTACTTTTCATGTATTATTACTGTGTGTATCATGTAGTAATGTTTTTTTCATTAATTATAGTTTTACAAAACTTATGTTATCTACAATATAAGAAACATTATATACATATTATGTTATGAAAACTAGTGAAATTTTACATGTGATTATCACATAATATACATTATAATTGTATTTCGCAAACTGTGAAAATCAAAACAAATGAATTAAACTCGTGCAGGGCTACATATTTAGTTTAGTATATCTTTATTTAATTCATAATAGTAGTATAATAAAATTAGTAATAAATAGGTTAAACAGATTTTGTAAATGAGTAGGGATAGTTGTTTAAAAAAATCGTACACGTTAGGTAACACTATAAAAACTGGTGGTTCCTCAGTTTTAGTTTATTTAATAATACTTACAAATATTTTGATACAGTTAAATAAGTTAACTTCTGCTTATATTACATATTGTTTTGTCTGCAAATGAAAAGAAAGCAATACAGATGGCACAAACTATAACAGTGCAGTATGAATTAATTATTCATCACTATAAAAATGGGAAAGTGTAGTGAAATTAGTAGAATTATTAGTCAACGTCGAAATACAATCTTGTACATAATAAGTAGGTTGCAAATGTTTATACAAATACAAAACATTTTGTGAATTAATTTATAGAATCTGGAATTGCAAAAATTTGTTTACTCTATTATGGATTCCATCAGGCTACAAGTAATATAAAAATTTCATTGAATTTGATCAAATATGCTCACTATAAATGTATAAAATCCACAGTATAATAATAGCACTACATAAAGACAAAACTTGCTTATCAAGTATAATAAAAAATAAGTTATGCAGGTAGTTGAATTCTAGAAATGCACAATGGGTTCTTTGAAAAGTTAATACCTTATTGACCGATAACAGATTCATAGGCTTGTTGATTTTGCTGCTTACCATAAGAAGCCTATTAATTTATCTTTACTTGTCACTGTTTCATATTCATATCAAAAGGTCCTTGGTTTTTAATCGTTGGGTCTAAGAAAACTACTAAATAATCGTTAGTTGGTAATATATATGTTAAGGTTGATCCTTGGACTAGAACTCCAAACTTAGTTTAGGCATTAAAAAAATATTTAAATAAAAAAGTAAATGATTCAGTACTAAGAAAAAAGCATTATCATAGTAGGATTGCTGAAGAGAAGCTACAATAAGTTTATAAAATACAAAGAAAAAATGTGAATTTGTTAAAAAATACATAAAAGAAGATTTTAACTTTTTAAAAGAATATAATCTTTACACATGAGTCTGTATTTAATACTTTTGGTTCTGATAAAAAAAGTAATTTGTTGGAAAAAACCTCTACAGCCTACACTGAATTCAGAGATAGATGACAAATAGTGTGTCAAAAGTCATATCTTTGTGGTTGTTAGGAAAAACGCCACATGTCACATGTTTGTAATTTAGAGATGTTGATGTTTACAGTTCTGAATACCAATTTTCTTGTTAGTAATGTTTCTTTGTTTTCCTTTTACGATATAAATATATGTTTCCTTCACTTTGCATAATATTCTTTTATATTGTGTTGTTTTTGTAAAATACAAGTTACATATGTACATATCACTTGCATGTAATAGTGTGTTACTTCTGGTAAAATAAAAGTATAGAATATAATTTTGTTTGTTTTATTTTATACAAAGTAAGTTATAGCATAAGCAGATTAACAGAAATAGAAAATTAGAGGGGATCACAAAAGAAAGATACGAGTAATCAATGTATTAACTAAATTTTTTGGACTTACGTTGATTTGCTTAATGTATATGAATTTGACTTTGATTAAATTGCATTATTTTTTTGAACATATAAGATTTGTTTTCATGTATTTCTTTATGATAAATACATAAATCCTATCTTTTACAACTCAATTAATGCATATACTCAAATTTTTTGAAATTATGACATGCAACGTTTAATGCTGAGAAAGTTTTTATTCATTCACCATAAAATAGACAAATGTTCCTGTTTACACACATTAAAAAATAATTTCCAATTGAATATTGAGAAATAGGGACTTTAAATAAATTAGAATTCCAGCTAATAATGATTCAAAAATAATTCTATCTAATGTTAATATAATAGCATTTATTTAAGGTGAGTTGGGTAAAAGTATAAGATTGCATAATATTATTTACAAGGAAACCCTCAAGGAAGCTGTACAAGAGAAATAATCAAAAATAAATATAAATACATGTGAAATAAATGTGTAAACTGAAATCTGTTGACATTAAATATCAATATACCTACAGAATATTAATATAAAACATTTATAATATTTTAAATTTATATTACTACAGGTGTTTGTTAGATTGACAGTACATATGAATATACAACAACAATGCATTACACTATTGGTCTTTTAATGTTTGATGTTAAGTGTAGTCACCAGTAATGATAAGATCATATAAATATTTCACTAAAATGTTCTGTCGCAGTTACATTTCTATGTAAACTAAACTATTCTTTAATGTGCAATAATATATCTTTGAATTATTGCTTCTATTGATGAAAATCATTTTACATATTATACAGATACTTAATTATCAATAATTTCGTTTACAGGTTTATGAAGAAGATGGTCTCCCGAATATGATGTGTCATCCATGCAAGTATCAATTAGAAAAATCTTATCAGTTTAAGAAGAAATGCGAAGCTGCTGATGCCAAGCTTCGAAAACACATGAAACTGATACAACAGTTAACGGGTCAAGACGAGGAAGGAGAAAATCAGGATAATAGTAGAGAAGAATTAAAGGATGGTTCCAATAGTGGAAAGTCTAAACAAGTTAAACAATTATTAGCTGATTTAGTATCAACTAAAGGGGACAGTGGTCAGGCAGATGGAGATCCAATTGAAGTCACAGAGGAAGAACTTGTTGGTGGTTATATTTTAGGTACTATTTAAACCTATTTTATGAAAAATGAATTTACTTATTAAAATCATAAGTAGCTTATATTATGTTTCTCATTCTTTTAACTATTTTCTCTATTGTAGGAATGAATTCAGAGAATTTGGAGATGGAGGAAACTTCGTCAGAAGATCCAAAAAACATCACATTGGTACCTGCTGAAGAACGTGTAGCTAAAGCACGTTGTACAATACGTACAACTCGAATTAAACAAGAACAGGAATCTGACGACGAAGCAGAAGAAGTGCAGAGAGCAATCGCAAATGCTGACCACAAAAACGTTTATATGATGGAACTTACCAGTAACAGTTCTGGTCAAGGAGAATCACTGAAGTTGCAACCCATTACGGACACTATAGGTAATACTCTAGGAAACTTTTATGAAAATACTATTGATGTAAGAGAAATATGTTTTAACACGTTGTTTTAATATTTCTCTTATAGTTCAAGCTAGTGAAGAATTAAAAGTATTCAAATGTGACAAATGCCCAAAAGCATTTACTCGAAGGATAATGCTAAAGAGTCATCAATCTGTTCATTCTACGCAAAGAGGATTTACATGTCAGGCTTGTGAGAAATGGTTCCCTACTAGATCAGCCCTCGTGAGACATGAACGTACTCATACAGGTACATAAAATAATTATTTCATGTATAAGTTTGATGAACTAAAGAATTTCGTTACGAATTATTTCATAATTATTTCTTTAATAGTACTGAGTTAACAACAACTATGTAATCTGTTATAAGTTGATTATAACAAATATACATAAGAGTGAACAAAGTGAAGAAATAATGTATTAAATTTAGAAAGTTAGTTACAAATACTCTTGATTTCATGAGATTTTAATTTCTTATAGGTGAAAAACCATTTGGGTGCAACATTTGTCACCGAGCATTTGCCCAAAAAGAAATTTTACTTCGGCATCTGATGACACATTCTGGACAAAAGCCATTCCAGTGTCAACATTGTGATAAGAGCTTCACCCAACGTGAAGCTTTGAAGGTGCATATGAGAAGACATCAGAAGCTAGACCCGAATGACATTCAACTACATCATTGTCAACTCTGCCCTAAAGCCTTTTGTCATGCGTCTGGACTCAGTAGACATTTGGTTACGCATACTGGAAGAACGTACAAATGTGTAGAGTGTGAAAAATCATTTACTGATAAGAGTTCATTGTTAAGGCACAGTCGCATTCATGCACCTAAAAAGATAATAACAAATTAAATTTATTCAGTAATTATAAGAAGAGTATCAGTCAACGTTGAATTAAGCCTTTGAGTGCAGAGTAGTCCAGAACTGAACGCTTACATCGAATAGCGCTCAGTCCATGATAACGATCTGTGCAGGATTTTGATTTCGTATACCATGTACTGTCTAAACAAATTCTATTATCTATACGAAGTATCATTTACTTCGATCTTTTGTCATGTAACATTATATAAATATGTAATTGTTATTTAGGTAATCATTGTCTGATGATGACATTTCAGTGTATGCATATTGCTATGCATACCTAGCACTCAAAGGGTTAAGGTCGACAAAACTGTTTCAAAAACTTATTTAGGATATACATCATTTTTAAAATTTTTTAATATAATTTATAACACATCGTATCTATCGATAACTGTGCACTAATCATTTGTTTAGTAATTCCAAATATAAACTTACACATATACTCTATGTATAAGTACTTTATTCTTATTTGATGTATATTCAACATTTAATTGAGAATATCAATTTGTATGATAATTGAATGCCTCGTCGGTTGAGAATCATTGAGTGAAAAATTTTTGCAGTAAGCTGTGCAATAAATTGTTATTATTTGTGTATCTGATGTATCGTACACTATGCAGTGTTACATGACATTTAAGTAACGTGTATTTTAGTAAAATGATATAGATCAGTGACAGTATTCTTCTATAGCAAACACTTTTTTTACAAAACTTAGATTCTTATATATATTTTCGTGATGTTTGCATTGTATACAATTCTATGTACTTCTATGTATATAACTTTAAATATAAGGATATGAATGAAACATTTTTTGCATTGTTCTGATTTTAATCTAAACAAAATTAATGAAACAAATTTATGAATAATATGAGTAGTTATGTATGGGTGTACATTTTCTGTAAAAATAACTACTTTTTTGAGAGTGAAATAACAGAGGAGGGGGCATTAGTCACCGTCAGTTTTGAAACAAATCCCCCACGAATATCCATGGAACACTGAAATTACATTATTATATATTTTTCTTGTATTGTTCCGTTTCAAAAATATTCTTAGTAATGACACCTTTAATGTATGTAAGTGTTTAAATGATATCAATTTATTACAAAAAGATTCAACAAAACTTTATTCCTGAGTCAATAAATACATGAATTTGTGTAATAATAATCTGCCATTTTATATTATTTCGACATTGTTTATTTTTTTAACAGTATATAATATAATACTAGTTACTGATTATTAATAATTTTCACAGAATTTGCATAAATTATAATCATTATTCTTATATAATTTTATAAAGTAGGTAACATATTTGGTTAAAAGTGCTAAACACACAAAAATTTTCGCTTTATCCATAACCACATACGGTCAATGTATTTGCTAAATATAGAAAATCATGTACAATAGTTACAACAAGAAAATGGGCATAATGATTTGAAATACAAAATACCAAAGATTTCTAATAAATTACCATTATAGTTACTCTATTATTTATCTTTTAAAAATAATTGGAAAAATGTAAGTCTATGTACTTTGTATCAAAAGAAGATAATTCTTTGAATTAACTGTTTAATAAGATGGTATTGGATAAAGAACTAAGTTATTTAAATAATTGTTAATAAATTATTTTATTGGGAGTTAACTACTATGATATAGTAGTATAATATTTATTTATTTAAGGTTACTTTTGATTAAGATAATTTGTTGCATAAATGCATTAAGATGACTAATCAAAGAATGCCCAGATTCGTTACATGACATGTACAGAGACAAAAAACCTACGTATGTATGTATAACATTTCACGCGTTTCTACCTAAGAAAAAGCACAATTTGTTATGAAAAGATGTACAAAAGTTACTCACTCATCCTTCGTTACAACTATAGTTGCTGTGCAACAGAGCTCTTATTAATTTAAAATTGTTTCAACAAATAACATGTCTATTATAGTAAAGTTATAATATACTATGAGGAACTTTAAGGATAACTGATAAACAGCTGGAGCAAGAAAGAGTAAAATGAAGTACATTTAGTTTTTTATTAAAAAATCCTTTTTATTATAACTTGCATTCGTTGACCTTGTGCATCTTTACATTGCCAATATCATTACACGATAGATCATTACATCAATCTAACGAAAGGTAAATCGCTAAGTTTTCATGTACACGTTTAAAACCTGATGCTCACAGATTCTTCACACTACAAATTGAAAAAGTTGTATTCAGTTTTCGAGCTCCGCCACACGTTCTTTTCTTAGATGTCTTATAAACAAAGGTCTCGTATTTTCGATGTTGCATTATCTGCTATACATTGCAAGAGCGACAATGTCTATGACAATTATCTATTTAAAATAGAGCAAAGAGGGAAATTCGTGTGTGTACAGTGTTTCTCAATAGTTCATGCTATCATTAGATCAATGACCACAGCAACTGTTATTCGGACATAACCCTACTGATAGCATAACCATTCAGAGTCATTATATATATTCATATATAAACATATAAGAATTAGTAGTATCGCGGTTTCTTAAATTTAAACATAACCACAAAACTGGATTTAATAGATTTAGGAAAATGCGATATTATTAACACTTGGTCGATATATATTGCTTGTGTTATAGATGAGGATTCTCAAAAACGATACGAAGTGTTCGCAATTGGTCAATAATTTTCCCACTTTGCTAAAATTAATGTACATTATGTTTATGTTTGCACTCGAACGATTAATAATTCTAGTGAAAGCGAAACGTACATGAAAGCCCATGGTTACACTTAAACTGCTGGGAAAGGTAAACGTAACACTGACTGAAAGCAAACTGGTCTTTCACGTACATTCGCAAAGTACTAATACCGCTAAAAATCTGAGAGAACTTTTTCATCTCAAGATGGTACCAATTTATACATTTTTCAAATGCTTCAACGTCTTTCGTTGTATTTATTGTTCTTTTCGTAAATTTACTTCCAACACACACCACTTGTAGCCATAGTGAGCCAACAGACTCAGGCTTTAGTTCATCTTTCCCTTTGTCGATAAAGTTTTAATACCTTAGAGGTTGGTAGTTGTTTAACTGACTCTTTTGTCGAAGGAGTAACGGAAAAATGACTCTCCTCGGCTGGTATGCTGGATCAACGAAATTTGTACTGTACCACATAATACAACGTACCTCATGGTGTGGATAAACTAGTGGTCACTTTTCCTGCTAGTTTGCTAAGTTGGCAAAAGGAATTGATGGACTTTGCAAATGTAGCGCGGAGGTCGGAAAATCTCGGATAATGTTTTACGAGATATACACGATTAATTGAGAGCAAATTACACGTTCCTCAAGGAACAGTGGACTGATTTAAAATTTATGCTCTCATCAATCGAGAATTAGTGTCTTTGGCTGCTCCCAAGTGAAGCCCTCCCGCCCAAAATGCCCATATGTGCTGGTTTGTTGATATATTGGATTACGGAGATTCAGTTCTCTGTAATAAATATATGATTTTACATTGAAAGGCTACCTTTACATGTAAATTATGTTTTAATGTCACAGTGGTAATCAAAATGAAAACAATTATAAATAACTGTAATATTGTTAATTGTATTATATAAGTTACACTCATAATAGCTTTGATACTATATCATCTGCAACTTTTAAACATTCATGACACGAGCAAATGTATCAAATATAATTAAATGAAAATTTGAATAAAACTTTATAAAACCTAATTGGTAAAATAAATTTTTCATTACTTTCAATCTTTAGAAAATGATTTATAAAAATGAGAATTTACATCAATGTTTGCAGCCTAATAAGATCAATTTTTATTGCATACTATTAGTTGCAGACCACCTATTCTATCAAATTTCTTTAACTATCACTATAATTAATACTGTTAAGATTATTCTCAGAAATTTTACGTTACATCATGGCACTCAAGAGTAGCAAATACTGCAGAACATCATTGAATAAATCTTACAGTATCCAATGTAGTTTCATTTCATGAAATACTAGACCTGAACATAATTGTTTTGAAATACAAATTTAAAAAAAATTTAAGGTACATCGCTTTTGAGTAATTTAAACACAATTTATTAATCTCAAATGATTATTTAACTTTTTTTTAGTAATACCGAGATGACGTATTCTATATAATATTCGTAAATTTTATACTTACTTGACAATTTTTCCTGGCCGTAAATCGAAATTTTTATTAACAATATCTAAAAGTTCATTTTGAGATAGTTTAGATGTACCATAGTCGAAGACTGTGATTGAAAGTGGTTCTGCAACTCCAATGGCGTATGAAACCTAAAAACAAAACAAGAATGTATTCAGAAATGTATTCTTACTATATTATCATTTTCTTTTGGTAATAATGATTAAAATATGAATGATCTGTACCTGTACAAGGCAGCGTCTGCATAAACCAGCTTTCACCAAAGACTTAGCCACCCATCTTGCTGCGTAAGCAGCAGATCTATCAACTTTTGTAAAATCTTTTCCAGAAAATGCACCACCTCCATGAGCTCCCCAACCGCCGTAAGTGTCTACTATTATTTTACGTCCAGTAAGACCAGCATCACTCTGTAATTAAAAATAAATGAATGTTACTACAAATAATATTGAATAGAAAAAGACTTGCAGTGACACACGAAACTGTAGTCACCTTATAATTAAAATAATTTGAAGCATAAAAATTATAAAAGCACTTATGTTAATTCCAATCCCAATTTTTATTTTCTGGCGAAAAGAAAGGGAGACTTAGAGAAAGGTACAACGAAAGCGAAATGAGCATCTGCGTGGCTGTTTACGTGAAAGTATATATTCATGATTTATGTTTGATGCATCGTGGATGGAACTACACGTGAAAAAACTGAAACACTAGTTTTAGAGTTACTATCTGAAAAAATATTACAATAGCTAAGTAAACGATACCTTCAGTTTCACCCACGTTGTATGTAATATAAAAGTTATACTTTCAAGAGTAGCAGTTATGACGTCGTAGATTAAAATACGAAATTATATAATTGAAAACGAACCAATCGTATTACCGTATTTGTAATACGACGTTTATATTAAATATAGAGAGTCTAATAGTTTTCAAAAGGATATTTTACATTTATCAAAGAGCAAGGTACTTTCTTTTTTCAAAAAGTGCTATAAACATAAATGTTGATATATTAAATATAAAATATGATATGCTGAAACTGTGTATTATTGATGTCGAAAGAGTTTAGCAGGGGAGGCATGGGCAAGTGGACGCCGAGCCAATTTTTGTTATTGTTTACTAAACAATGTCGTTTGCCAGAAACGCCATTCTACGAAATTTCATATCTCTGTCTTCATGCTTAAGGGTAATATGGTGTAAAAATCCTGAGCTAGATAATTTTATTTCTTTGTTATTATTTAAGATATTTACATGGAACAAAAACGGAAAAATAGGTACATATTAGTTCCACTTCACATATTTTTTCAAAATTGTAGATTAATTATTAAGGGTAGAAAAAAAAAATTAATTTTTTGGGGGATAGCTTTGCAAACAACCCTTTAAGTGATACCCAGTAAAAATATTAAGAATAATACTCCATTATGGAACTATTATCTGTAAAAGTTTCAGGATAGTCAGGTTGGTGGAATATAATTAAAAAAAAAAAAAAAGAAAATACGTTCAGTAAACGTATATATATCTGTATATCATTCCACGTCAAGCGGATCACTTTTGTACACGATGTCTGGGATTTTGTTAAAATATATTATGTGTTTCAATCAGCAATCATATTTTTTAAATATTTTTGACAAGAGCACACCGAATAAAATGGGGACTCTACAGTTTCCGCATAAAATACGAGGAATATATAAAAAAAATAGAACAAAATAAGTATTGCATTTGATTTGTGTTCAACTAGTAGGTACGTTGTGTAGTGTGTTTAGCTACAGGTATCAAAAACTTTAAGGGGTTATTCCACATACCAAAATAAGACGAAAATCAAGAATGACGTAATTGTGTCGGGGCTTCGTTCATTTCCTAGTTATTAATAATAAAAAAACTCGTGCTAGACACACCTGAAACCAGAGAATTTGTTTATAAACGGTAATCAGATGACAATCCCGAGTCACACTTGACTTCTAAGCCGTAAGGTCATATGTAGCACCTTCACACTGGTTGCTCTTACACTTATTAAACCTAATTATTTGTTAAAATCCACAAGGGCAAAATAGTCGGTGGTCTGCCCTTGTCGATCTGAATGAGTAACCAGATTCAATTTCGTGCAACGATTCGTATGTGCTCCTACATGAACTTTCAAGAGAAGGCAGTGCAGGCTTGCGCGCAGGTGTAGCATGCATAGCAGCGTATAGGTATTACATATTACTAGACTGCGGATTTTTATGCAAAATGACATTTTGTAAAGTAATTTATAAAAACAAGAACTAAAATAGGAATTTCATTCTTCCCTTAAGTATGGTATTGAGCTATAAGAATAAAATAGGAAACTAGTTGTCTCTAATGAAAATTTCATCTTTTGCTGTATTTCGTTGAGCCCCATAGGTTATAACTTATTTATAAATGCATAAAATCCGCAGTCTACATATTACATTTTTGCTTAGAAGGTAAGGTTGTATTTTTTACGTAAGGTACTGTCATGCCCTTGGCATATCGCTATACAGATTGTCTGATTTCAGACCAGGGCTGTCCAACCCGTGGCCCGCATGCGGCCCAACATACAATCGTAGACTTCCTTAAAATATTCAGATTTTTAAAGAAATTCTGAACGAAAAGAAGTCAAAGAATTATGCTACGACATTTTTGCTTAACAATTATCGTTAGAATTAGGATATTTCATGTGCGGCCCGAGACAATTTTTTTTCTTCAAATTGTGGCCCAAGGAATTCAAAAGATTGGACAACCCTGTTTTAGATGTTTTTGATCCAAATTTGTAATTGTTAATGCCTCGAAGGGGAAGTCCCCAACGCAATTTCGTTGTTTTTGATTTTCGTCTCATTTTGGCATGTAGAATCAATCACCCCTTACAGTTTCTGACACCTGTATATATACACGCACGTATGTGCTCGTTCGCCTGTCTTGTCTTACTCACTAGCTTTTATCTCTCTTGTCGCTGAAAATACTGAAATAGCTACTGTCTACTACAATCCTGACATCATAGTGAGAATGTCGATGCCATTGTAAAAGTGTTTAGACAGCGCAATTATAATGAGGGAATATTGTATAGTAATCTCATAGAATTCGGTATGTTTTGTTAAATGTATAGGCGATATAAATCTTGGTTTAGAAATTTCTTTAATAGGTGCTGCTAAAAATAAGTATAGTAAAAATTTTTATTTTACCTGTGGTCCTCCAATAATGAATAATCCACAAGGATTAACATGGAACACTGTTCTGTCGTCCAAGTACCTAGCTGGAATTACTTCTTTAATAACTTTTTCCATAACTGCTTTACGTAGTTCCTCCAAACCAATTTTTTCACTGTGTTGCAGGGATACGACGACTGTGTGAACTCTGATGGGTACACAAGCACCATGATCCATGACATATTCGCAAGTAACCTATTTTCAAAGGACGGTTCATGTTAAAGACTCATTCTTAATATATTAAAAAATTCTGACTTGCATTATAATATATTTTCTCAGTAAATTTTGTTCACATCATGGCATTCAAGAGTAGCAAATACTACGTAACATCATTGAATAATATTGTATTAGCTTAGATATTAAATACATATTATAAGAAGGGGTTAACAGACCTGTGTTTTTGAATCAGGCCTTGCCCACCACAATTCGCCACTTCGCCTCAGTTCTGCAATCTTTTGATTTAACTTGTGCGCCAACACTACAGTCAATGGCATACATTCATCTGTTTCGTCTGTCGCGTATCCAAACATCAGACCCTGATAAAAGAATTTCAGTTATTCCAGTTGAAATTTAAAACATACAAATTTGAAGCAGTACACGGATATAATTAATGGCTGTAATTAATTTGCAATATTATAGAAGTTTGCGAGTAGGAGGTCAAGCGTTAATAAAAAACACGAAGTATATATACAGCATACAATTTGTGAAAATGTATAAGCCATTTTTGAAATTTATGGTGATTGTCAATCATGCTATCGAAAATTTATAATGTGCAAGTAAGGTGCCACACAGAGCATAATTACTGACGCGGTATATTAGGGTACTCATGCTTAACAATTCAAAAAACACTAGTTTTCAACACACATTCCAATGATTGTGTGAATTAGTCACGAAAAATTTGCAGAGGTGATTAAAAGATACGTACAATATATGTATTTTCAGTAAGGGTTAAAAGTATTCCTGCTAATCGCGTATATGAGCATAATATACTTTTTCTGTTATCGTTATCTAGGAACATTGTTAGATTATTAACAATGTAATTTATTAAGGGGCTGTGTACAAATTCTTCTGTCCCTCACTGTGCATCACTTTTGTAAGAGTTAACATTCTTCAAATGTGATGAATTTTATATGTACATATCACAAAAAAAAAATGAAAAGTATAATATATTCTAGAAGAAAATCAATATTATTTCTACCTAATATCAAGAACTTGTTTTTTAATCAACTCATACTTTGTATAACTAATTATTTGTAGATTTTCAATTGGAGATAATTTTGAAGACAAGGAGCGTGAAGATCTAGAAATTAAAAATTAGGAAAAAAAAAATGAAAATCTAAATACACAACAAGGTCTAATGGGATTTGCATGCCTTTACCATAACCACACTAAGGCAATAGTGAGAAACTATTTAGTACTTTCAATAGCACAGAGTATATACAACATAGGAAGAAACAGCAAGAAAAGAAAAGAGGCCACAGGTAGTTCATCTGCAATAATGAGAATGTAAGAAGCACTATACTTAAGATACCAAACATCGAAGGTAGGAGAAGTAAAAATAAAGAGTACATGTGTTACTTGAAAAGCTAAGAATACTAATAATAGCATTAGATATAACAAAAAGAAGAACAGAAAGAAGTCAACGATCAGAATACTAATTGACCTGGTCTCCTGCGCCGACTTCTTCATCGCTACGATTTTCATGAACCCCCGCAGCAATATTTGGTGATTGAGCATCAAGCGCCAATAGAACACTGCAGAGTTTGTAGTCAAAACCTGTAGAAATTACATGAATGAGATAAATATATTCCCTAACAAGGATATCACTACTCTGCCATTAAACCACCACTGTCCTGGCTGATCTATCTTAAATATCTAGTTTACAAAGTTAATAGACTGTTAATTCATTGTTTAAACAAAAATTATAAAACGGTTCTAATCATAATGAGAAACGATACAGTTGAATATGTTTTTGCAAGAAGTTTGCACTAGAAAGTGCATTAGTCCAGCTTACTGATCCTAAATATTTGTTTTGTAAACTGGACACCACAATTCATTGATTAGAAAGAATGTAAAACATTTTTGAGTATTACATAGAGGTGATACCAAAGTGTTCTTTCAAATTTATTCTAGTGTTATTTAACTCCTTCCCTTATAATATTGAATCAGACTTGAGCAGATAGCAAAATGATTATAATATTAACTATGAATGTTATTCAGTTTTGCTGTTATCAATACCTCAGTTTTTGCTTTAGCAAATTATTAACAATGAAGAACTTTCGTGGATGCAGTCGCAAATAAAATTCTAGGATAAGGAGTTAAACAGTGTTTGTATAATAATTATGATTATGAAAAATCAGTAATTTGTAAAAATTCCATAGCAATAATGAAATTGAATTTTTTTTATCTCACAGAATACATGTTGTATTTATGTAACTGTAACATTCACATACATACAAATTCACACATTCACGCAATACAGAAGGAGGAAAGTTCTTCAAAATATATAGTAAGAAGGGAAGGGAAGGTAGAGGCAGGGTAAGTAAAGCATAAAACAGGAATGAATGTTATTAAATTATATGGCTGCTCTGCGGCATGGGCTGAGAATGGGTTATGTACCTGATCACCTGCACCCACGTCCTTCTCTTCCCTGTCCACATGAACACCATCAGCGATATTTGGAGATTGTTGTTCGATTGCCACCAAAAGGTTCAACGTACGCCAATCGAATCCTGCCACGATCATGATATGCTTACGTTACATATTCATACGTGTTTTCTCACTTACTTTTTGTTCCAAAATATAACGTGAACAGGATATAAATTATCCAATCGATCGAGTCATGGAATATCCTCAAGTCCAACAGTGTGTTACTAACGTGTATGTAGCGTAAGGCACATCCTTTCGATACACAAATGCACACATGTTATCATAACTTATTAAACATGTAATGTAATAAGCATTTCGAATAAAGATTGTAATTAATATGCTGGAAGCTTTCGTGCCATGATTCGACCGTGTATTTTAAAATTTGATTCAAGAGAACCAAATGAGGCAAATTGTACAAGGGGTACAAAACAACAGAATCTTCATCCGTCCACAGGGCATATATATGTCACACAGAAAGTGGAAATTTCTTACGTTAGCAAGGAAACTTACAAATGTCTTAGATGTATGAGATAAAAATAAATTGAACAAAACTTTAAGGGTGCTAAAGGATTTACAAACATACATCACTGGAGAGAAAATATATACAGTACCACTGAAAATATTTTTACCTTTCGAAGAGTCATCGTAGCCAATGTGTTTGACCGTGTCACGTACAATTTTTTGATAATCTACCACAGCTTTTGATGTAATTTCACCACACAACAGTATCATTCCAGTTTTTGTTACAGTTTCTGAATCATGAAAAGAATATAACAATTTAAAATTAGTGTAAACCTTTTTGTATCAACTAATAGTCTAATATATAGCCATTATATTAAGTACTAGGTCCCTACAGTTCTGTTTCAAAATTAACTCAAGGCTGAATTGACTGGCGTATAAATAGTTTGTAACACAAACTGATTTGGAATCACTAAAAATTAAGATTATTCTAAGGAAACTCACCACAAGCCACTTTTGCATTAGGATCTTGCTTTAAGTGTGCATCCAAAATGGCATCACTTATTTGGTCGCACATTTTGTCTGAAAAAAGTTCCAATGTTACTATATTATTGATATTTATGCAAGCATATATTTTTACAAAATGATTCACAATAAACAGTAAGTTGACAGAAATTTAATTTTTATAGAAAGGATTTAATTAGATTAAAAATAAAATTAATTATTTCTTCGTCTTTCGTATAATCTTTACACGTGAGTTTAAGTTACAAAAGGCACGAACAGCTATAGTTTACTAATTACATTCTATTTGTTTATGACTAACAGCATAAAGAAATTAAAATAGATTTAGTTAATTTAAATTAAATTAAAGAAAATAACTAATTAAAAGAAAATAATTATAATTTGAGATGACATTAACTTAAGGAGAAAACATTGAAATTTCACAGGAAGATAAATATTTACAAAAATAATTACAAAATGATAAAAAATATTTACACTACTACTTAATTAAATCTAATTAAACTTAAATCACGATAGGGTAAAAGATTACTACAGAGTAACTCATTAATTATATGATTCCAAATCAATGTTTTAATTCAAATCCAAGAAATTGTTGATCAAGAAAATGTAATAATATATGTACAATTAATAAATGAATAAACGACATTAATTATTTAAATTTTTGTTATCTTAGTGAGAATATAAATTGTAGCAAATTTAAAAAATTACATGAAAATAAACATTATACTTTTCTAGAGTTTCGGTTTTACTTGTGAAATATATTTAATTTGAAACAAATTGGCAAGACTTTACGAAAAGTTAATAAGAAATGTGTAACAGAATGCATGTTTCGAATTAACCGAAACAAGATTTTCGTTAAAATAAATTCCTTAAAATATGATTGCTTGTATACTTAGAACATATCAAATAACACACACACTTAATTTAAAAAACCCGCTAAAAGGTTTCAGCGGATATCCACAAATAGAAAAGTTTCAACTAAGTTCAGTTCTAACTCTACCTTCTGAAATCTTCAAATAACCCAAAGTCGAAGTCACCATAACCCAAAAATATCAATTCCTCAAAGCATAAAAATAATAATAAACTCAATGGCAATGACATCATTAAATTCAAAATCCAAAAAAAAAGCCTCCAAATTGAGCACATGGCGGCGCCGGAACGTTTCCATCTCTATCTCTTTTAACCAACTAACACGTTCAACCCAGTTTTATCAGGCCATATTGTATCCAATCCCAAATGAAAACAAACTCATGGTAATTAATACATTTTCTTTTCATGTCGCGTGGTAATTATAGTAATAAAATCAAGAAACGTGAGTCTATACTGTCGTACAAAGTTTGGTGTCGTGACTCTCTCCTGTATTAAGTTTCATATTGTTAACATTCAAGGCAAATTACCTTTATTACTTTTGTCCTTTGAAACCTCAAAAATAAGTACACTTTTCTAATAGATCATGGAATGTACATTTTGAATGACACGTAACCCTAAACTTCTAGATTATGATAGAAGTTTCATTTATTAATGATGACAGACAAAAGGCTGAAGGTTGGGATCTCCTGAAATCCTCGTGAACAATTGAATCATGTGGATATTTTTTACATTCATGCTGTCGAGACAAAATAGTCGTAGCGGCGAACGTGTTAAATTCAGAAAGGGTCGCGCGCACGCGGATACGACTGTTGGTCAGGTTTCATGGCGGCATACGCGAGTCACGGCGACATGAATGTTAGCCCGAAATTTGGCCGAGTCATGAGTCGAACATTTAATTCGTTTAATTTACAAGGTAAGTACCTGGGTGGCCCTCGCCGACGGACTCCGAGGTGAAGAGAAAACTGGTGTCCTGTTGCAACTCAGGCGGTGTGTGCCCATTCGCGTATCCGTTCATGTGGTGAGCGGTCTCCGGCATTTTCCTTCTGGTAGTTGGGGTCTTCTCGTTCAGCTGAGCTCTGGTCACGTGCGGTGACTTTGGTTACTGATTCGACTTCTTTGATTGATGGAATTGGCTGTGGTAGACTGTTCGATCCGTGCACCCTACTTTGATCTCGCGCGAACGAATACTACACCAGCACAGCACCGAACGTAATAACAGGGAGCGCGGAGCGAACGAACTATGGTACAATGTAGAAAGTATAAGACTCCCCGCTTCCTGGCCGCAGATATTTATAACCTCGGTCGGTACGGTGGCCGATTCGGGTGAGATCGTGTCACGTGATCCCTTTGGCACCCGGGAGATTAACCACGGCGCGGAATTCGAGTAGATATCAAGCGGGTTTTGACCGGTTGGTAAATTGCACGTGGCGCACCTAGAAAATATTCATATTTTGCAGATATCAAGCTTGACTGGAATATGTATTTCGAACAGCGCGGGGAAAATTTGAATCAATATCGTGATTCAGGACTACGTCTATAAGCCTAAATCGTTAGTTATAAAAAATAATAAATGAAATGATCGTTAATCATTTATAGTGACTGATTGTCATTTCCTCGTGATCTTTGCTAAGTAATTAAACTTTAATTATTAATCATATAGATTAGAGTTGTTCAATTAAACTAAAACTTTATTATTGTATATTACAGTATAATGTGTATAATAAGATTTGACTACTATGAATTTTTTGAACAATACACTGAGATTGATGAAAATACTGTTTTTATAGAATTACTTAATTTACAAACATACTGGTATCCATAGTAACATTCAATAATTATTATGTATTGTAATTTAAATGTTATTTCTTTATCGCATTCCTTCTTGGAATATTTCACGTTAGTAAAATATATTTCCTGTCAGTTTACATATATTATATGACTTCGAATAGGGGTCATTCCACGCGACATTGGACACTTTTTGGAGTAACATTTCGGATTTTGTTCAAAATTGGATATGCTGTAGCCTATAGTGCAATAAACAATTGCAAAATAAATAATTAAAAATTTTTACTTAAATACTCCTATATCTCTACTCTAAGTATCCACAAAGCTCATTTCGATCAGTTTGTTAGTTCAACAGTTATAATTTATTGAAAAAAGGTTGACACTATATTTCAAACAGCTGCAAAATCAAGAATTTTTTTAATTTCCAAGAATCCTTCGAAATACGCCTATATATCATTAAAGTCTATAACATATCTAAGTTTTAACAAAATCCGAAATGTTATTCCAAAAAGTGTCCAACTTCGCGTGAAATGACCCATAGGTATTTTTAGATTTAAACTTTCATTACAGAGATATTATCATTAACAATTTCACGTGTCTAGTACTGTCAAATTGAAACGTTTAAGAAGCAGTGATCATGTATTTTGTAATAATATGCTATTTATAATTTCTAACTTGCAATGTAATTTACGAACAGGATAATTGGTGTTTACTGAAAGGTATAAATGATTGTGTCACTGTATATTGTGATTAAATTAATCATAATGGTATCAATGATTAACATTACACTTAACGTCGATTGCTTTTCGTTCGAGAATCGATTTCAGTAATTGAGTATTAGTAATTGTGGCAGATTATCTCTCACAATTAAATTATTACTTTCGTCGTTTAATTAATTTATCAGTCGAAAAATGTTAATTGACTATGTACTATCCCATACTGGTGTTGGATAACAGTTTCAAAAAAGGCTATTGTATTTGCAATTTACTTCCCTAGGATTAGAATGTTGTTTGTATCAAATTTCTCTGTCATAGGTAAAAATATAATTCACAGTATCGTGTTTCTTATTTGATTAGGACAATTCCATTTGAGAAACATTTTGCAATATAATTCTACTTTGTATGTTATCAAGACTTTAATAACACATATAAGACCTATTATATGTAGTTTTTCTACATTTTAAATACAAATTAGAAGTAACTACATCAAATAATGTTTCTGTTCATGAGAAAGTAGTCAATAGAATTTTATTTAAAATAACAAGTATATCAAACAATTAATGTTTTTATTATTTGCTCTTTTCAAAAACTTTCTACCTGCGCCTGCGATGGAAATTTTATCATACATTAACCAATTAAAAAATCGCAATCTAATATTATTATCTGAAGTATTCTAAAATTTTACATCCTTATGCAGTCCCATGCATGTAACAATTTTATATTGACCTGTAGTTTATATTACCAAATGTTTGTACAAGCGGAACAACAATTAGTAAGAAAATATGCATAAGTTACCAATTTTTAACATATTTTTAAAACTAATTGTTATTTCGAAAAACTACTCACGTAGGTATTTTTATTATTAAAGAACACACCACTTTTGTTGACAAGACATTCTTTAAATTGAATAACCTACACAATATTAAGGAAAATGTGTTTTTCGCACCCAAGTTTGAGGACTGTTTTCATCCCTTAGATACGAATGTCAGCGACTAAAGAAAATACATTTGAAATATTTTTCAATTTACGATCTCTATGGAAAATTTCATCACAATCGGCATGATACACTCGAGTGATGTCCCTTGTTTGCAAGGAATAATGTTGTGACAGTTTTAAAGTATATTACTGTGTATATTTTTGTTTCTGTGAAAAATGAATTACTTGAACTTGAAAAATTACAGAATAGCTTTCTTACAATAAAACTTGTTACAAAGTTTATCGGTAAGAAATTTTGATTTGTAAGAATACGAAAAAAGCGAAAGAAACTACACTTCCTCCACAGGTGCGAAAAATGTTGGCAATGTGTTTAAGCTAATAATTCTAGTACGTGAAATGTCTTTTATAAAGTAATAATTGTATATCTGAAATGAAATAATTATGAAAATGCATGATACGTTATCTGAGAAAGTATCTTAAACAGTATTATTGTAGAAATGCGTAGGTCCTTGCACTCTTATTATACAAATTATTGTGTACAATAGCAAAGTTACATGAAATAAGAATGGTACAATTAATCAGCTGGTATTTCCACTGACAGCAAGGTTACGTGAATTTGTAATTTCGTGTACAAACCTGTATAACAGCTCCCTTTGGTTCGAACCTGTCTTCGTTCTTCAAGAAACAGTTGATAAAAATCCACTTGAATAAAAAAAAATGACAACTTTCAACGAATACGACAGACAGTTGTACTGAACTTTGAACTTCGGGTTCGCATCGTCTTGAATTATTATCGAGTTGTACTTAGTAAACACGCTTTGTGCGTTTCCCTCGAAAGAACAGAGTTTACACTGACCAGATGATGGTATCGGTCACACTTTTATATGTCATTGTATCTCCCTCCAAATGTCAGGAAACACTCGGGTGGGGTTTGTAACAACTAGCTGTGGATATTTATGTACGCAAGACATACAAAGAACATATGACGAATATGTACATATGCACGAAAAATATGCAAAATATATAAGTGATACATGCAATATATTGTAGATTTATCGTATAGAACAGTACCTGAATTAGAACAAGAGGATATTTAAGTTACAATTAACAGGTTATTTATACTAAAGAAGTTAGTGTTCTGGTGTACTATGATTTGCATTACAATAAATTACGAGTAATTTTTCTAAATTTGGAACAGTCCATTGTTGTCGTTTGTATGTTGTGGGGTAGTATGTAACGGGTGCATATATAAATTGGCTCTAATAGCGGTGTGCTACATGTTTGAGCTATTCCACGTTTCCACCGCGGTTATGTTTGCGATTTGTGATATTTTTGACAATTCTGGATTCTTTTCCAAAATTGTATCCACGTTTATATGAATTTTTACTGTTTAATACAATTTATGTATGTCTTTATCGATACTCACTCGCAACCTCAGCGTTTGCAAATGTGCCTCGACGAACGTTAAATTTTGAACAAGTTGTGTCTGTTGGAATATATGCTGTGCAGTTTTAATTGCAACAGCATCAATTTAATTAAAAGCTTGAACTATCTCTTTAATCTTCTTAAAAGTTTCGGCATAAAAATCATTTCTACTTTTCGCTTTAGGTCATTTACCTCATCTTGTTAAAATTGGTTCCGATGGTAAAGGCGTGTTTTCTACTTTTTTTTGATAGGTTCCGATGCGAGGCGGTGCTTTTAGAAAACGTTCTCTTACTGAAGTTATTAATTAATTTACCAATGGAAAGTAAAGTCGCGCTTGTTCAGCAATCCTGTATAAACTGTACACTAAACAGATAATATGAATTATATTAGTATAAAACAATTTCAATTTCTTTTCCGCTTTGACCATGTATAGAGCTGCATACATTAGAAACAGAAGAACTCTTTCCTCATTATGTATCATTTGGAACTACCGATATCTATGGCGGAATTAACAAATCGAGCTATGGTTGCGTGATTCGTCTCTTTTAATTGTTTGGAACAGAGTAAGTGAGGCCTGGTTACTTCAATTTCGCACATTTTTGTTTAGTATTTATTACACTAATATGTAACTATTTGTGTGTCATGTTTTGGGGCAGATATGGGAGTTACTTGAATCGAACATTTTTTAACCAATTATTCACGTACGTAATATGTTATTGCTCATAATTAATGTTTTTTACGTCTGCATCAGATAACCATTTACGATCCAAAAGTAATTTTCATTTGTCAAGTTGATTTTAGTAATTTGGAGAATATTGCAAAATACCGATTTATGTCACGTTGTTCTAGCTATCATGGATGTAATTGAAAATTTTTAAATGTTTCTAGTTGATGGAAATCCTGCCGCCACGTATAGATTATTTAAATAGACTAATTCTAAAATTATAATTCAAATAATAAATATTTGATCAATTGACAATTTGATAGTAATAATTATAAGAATATTGAATAAATTCTAATTCAAAAGCATTACTAGCGTTTTATTGTAGCATGTATTTTACTGACTTTTTTTGCGAAAGTGTTGAAATGAAATAAAAATCGATGCATTTCGTAATATTTTTCTTGTGGTAATTTTTAGCGAATGCTTACAGCAGTTTAACCAATCGTTGATTATATTTAAATAATTAATTGGTACTATCAATCAGAGTATCGTCATGAAAATATTTTGTATTGTGAACGAAAGCTGAAGTTTATAATTATGTCACATCAATTTAAAGAAGTGCGTAAAGAATTTTTTAATATATTCAGCGATGATGGATTTGGTTGAAACGTAATTGACTTAAGTTTTTCTATTTAGACTTTTTGTCCTATACTGTATTTTACAATTGATAGTATCTATTCTTATTCAATTTCCGAAATTATTATTAGTAAGTAAATTTTAGTATTTTTAAATTCCTGTAATTAAATGAATTTTGACTAGCTGCATCGT